AAGTGGCTGTATCATTTTGCGACGATGGAAAAGCACCCTTTATTGAAAAATTGATCAGAAAAAATGTTCGTTTTCGAGCTGGAATTTGGTGATAATGTGCGAATTGCAATTCAAATTTGACACATTATTTACTTTGGCAGTTTTTCAGAAACATCAAATACTGTGAGTTTTTGGGGAAGTTAGGGGTGGCTGTATCATTTGGCGACGCACTGTATATGTATCGCCCAGTCGAAAAAATCACGTTAATGTAGCCTATATCGCTCTAACACTAGCGTGTTTGGAGGAAAGTCGCACGTCCTCGACCCCGCCATTCATTGGGTATGATATCCCCTAAACAGTTGCTAAGCACGGCATGCCACAAGATCGGAGCCGCGAAGCGTAGTAATCTCCAGTATAACGGTACTCCTTACCCGATTCCCACGACAAACGGCAGTAGCTGCGGGCTGACTACCTTATCATCCCACTGGGAATTCAGACCTTTCCATTCTTAACTTGCGACTGCGCGTGATCGGGTGAGACGAGCGCAATTTTCGGGAAGAAACACCCCTACCCGTAACCTACCTATCGCATACCTTCTCATGACAATTATTCTCCGCTAATTCTCCAAGCAGATACCAGAGTTGTAAAGGCTCAAGTACGTGATCGATGAGATCTTTTTTTTTCACGTCACCGTTAGGAATAGGCTACCGGATTCCCGTTCCACCGCCAACTGTCTCTCTGAATGTGCCATGGGAAAAGGCAGTTTAGAAGATCAATCAAGCTTCTCTGCATGTTCCTCTTTCCCTTTCCAGGTTAGGCCGTTTTGCATACAACCCATTGTTGAAATGAGAACAATTTTATTGAGCTAAAGTACACGCATTTGCTCTGTATTTGATTCCAGAAATGGACTGTGCATTTGGAAAGCTTTCATTTATAAATATCAACACACTACAGAGATGAGAACGTTAGAGCAGAACAGCACTGAAGATTAAATACTTGGAAAATACAACTTTTTCATGAAACAAATCGTGACTAGCTCTACAACCTAATCACATATTGTATCAAGATATGCATCAACCTGTTCGTAGACCTGCTTCTCGAGATCTTCCATAGATTCAATCAAAGCAATCCGAATTGGCTGCTCCAGAGACGGATCCTTTTCAATTAGTTTCTTGGCGACGAATGCGTAAGTTTGACAATCACCACGGAAACTCTGCAAAACTGTAGCTAATCCTCAGGAATATGATTGCAACACAATTAGCTTCCCATAAATCTATTTCTTTTGCTCAATTTCACCCAAGTTCAACATTCCTTCTTTCCCGCTGGGTTGAGGCGGTGGAAAAATGAGGTTAGTTCCTTCCTCTTGTTGTCTGGATTTGTTTCTTCAAACAGTTCCCAGACATTTCGAATCGAACCTAGTGTAAGTCGAAATTCCAAAAATAGATGTTAGAAGACCATTCAGTGAAGACAGACCATGAAATTTTTTGAAGGAAAAATGAAAAGGAAGGTGGGAAAAGGTTCAAGTGATGTGCGATACGTAATGAAATTCCGTTCTTCATTTTAATATTTGAGAGCAAATTCAAGTGTTGGTAGTAAAAGGTCGGTCGTCAGAATGAGATTATGAGTGCAGAGTCACAAATGAAGCCACAGTTCACCACTTGTTCTTTTCGCCGACCTTTCAAAAATCTTCTCCCATGTTTTTTGCACGCTTTAGGACGCTTACTTATCAGCTACTATGAAAAGATGTATCATAATAATTCTACGAATCTGCGTCGTCCCACTTCCACCAGCTTGCAGAACATGATCTGTCATCATCATCATCAGTCAGCAAGTCATGAAAATCATTTACTTTCAGGCGCAACATTTTATTATATTATTTATACCGCAATTGATTATTATTTTAGGTATTTTTTGACCGCATAGGTGTTTCGATAACTGCGTCGAGGCTGAAAGATAGCTGAAACAAGGCGCTTGCTCGATTCAACACCAGAAAGTATTATACTATAAAAGCTTTCGTTGAAATGAAAGCGCACGGTGCGAATATTTCGAGAGCATACCAACATCCTTGATCTGAAGATAAACAGCACTAGCGGGATGCCTCGGCAACGCTTTTTACCAATGGGGACAAATGCGAATTTCCACAGTCACTAGCTCCAAGCAGCTCCGAAATGCTCATAACTTACGTGAGTAGTTCTACTCACCTAGTAGTTTTAACTTTTGTATTTGTAAACAACCCTCTAAAGTGTAGTTGGTGCTTTCAAAGTTCACCGACGTGCATTGTTTCCACTGCGCGACCGAATGACGGTGTTGCTGTTCACGTGTTGACAACGCAGGACAGATTGCGTTCATGGTTGCATCGAGGAGGTCCAACGTTGGACAACCGTGAACACAATCCGTCCAGCGCTGTCAACACATGGCTAGCAACGCCGTCTGTCGGCCGGTTTGTTAATGAAAACAATCACTTCGGTGCAGCTGAAAACAACCAGTGATATACCTGTACCTTTATATACGATTTCTTGAAAATTAAAACCCTTCCCTGAACTAACGCTACCTTTCTGGTGATGGAATAAACTGAAATGATGCGAATGGTAAATCAGAAAAAACCTCTTCAAGCTTCTTCTTCCTCACTAAGAACCTCTCGAGTGATATCTCATTCAGATTAGAGAGCCTTTTTTCTCTGACTGTACGTTTCTCTTCCTCACTGTCCTGTTGGCCTATTGCTAAGCTGCTCAGCCGCAGTCCGCCTGCACCTTGAACAGAATCGTAGAATATCGATCGTCACATGGGATCGAATGTCTGAAAATGACCTACCTTCATCCGGCTTCGGCTCCGTTTTGACAGTCTTTATAAGATTCGCTTGGATTTCTTTGAACTGCGAAAAAAAGCGGGAGCTGGTTGGAAAACGTGATGCCACCGTTTTATTGGATGGTGCATCATTCTGGAAGTAAAACTTCTGCTCAAACACATTGTTTTCAAATCTTCTGAAAATGCATGAAATACCTCGCAGAAAAGGTACTTTGGTACATACTTTATTGTCTAAAAGATTGATAGTGTAAAGATTTCAATGAAAAGCAGCGCGCACAGCTCGAACAATTGAAATCAACTTAAGAGGGTGACAGAACGGACCAGACGAGCGACGTTGAAGCAAGCCTTGCAGTTGTACACGGCTTCGGTATCTTTAATCCGCGATGGTTGAGCTCCCATTCTTGAGCACTCAATATTGCGACAATCTCAGCGGTTATTTTTAGGTTAGAGTCATGCGAGAACGCGATAACCCAAGAACTTCCTCAGTTGATTCACCATGTTCTTGAACGTCTCCTCCTATTCATGCGGCCTTGTCCGTCGTCACCCTTCACAGAAAATTCTCCAACATGAGAGGATCTCTATGTGATGACGCGATCTTAGAAAGCGGACATGTGGCAAATCATGGACCAAAAGGCGACTTCACCCAGAGGCGCAAGTGGTGCTGTAGTTTGGACTTCCGTTTCCACTTTTCTGCGTTTCATTTTTCATAATATCCTGTCTCATCTCAGATGTATCAAGCCATGTACATGTGGAGGGCTTGTGATGCAGTTGATATCCTGCATGTCTGCTAAAGGCTAGCTGCGAATCGATGTGATGTACCAAGGAGGCAATCCGGAGCCATCCTTAATCAATAAGCTTAGCTTATAGGCACTCTGAGATAGCAAGGCTTAAAATCCAGTCAACGCGAAATTGTCTACGAACATCCATTCATACGAAGTCTGACAGCCCGAATCGAGATTTGCAATCGTGAAGATGTAGCTCAACCTCAGTTCCACTGATCTTCACCGACTACTTGTCAACGACAAACTACGACAATGGAGGCGGACCTCGAAGGGCTGGAGGCGTTTATGCGGCACGGAAAAGCTGTCGGAAATTGGTGCCAGAAGCCCATGAATGGATTCACAGAAAATGAAATTGAAATGAACTCTGGGTTAGTGTGAAGATTGCCTAAGTTCTCCATATCAAACAACACCATCTATGGTTATTAGCAGTTTCGATGGGCATGGGAGTTATCTATTGGACAGATCGATAATGAAATAGATCACATCATCTTCAATCAAAATTTATGCCTGTTCGACTGCGTTGTTGCTTTTGCGTTTTACACAAAACAGGACTGTGTCTTCTCTGCGTTAGATTCTGATTTCTCAATGTGATTCAACAATCGAAGCCCCAAAACCGTCTTCAATTGAGAACACTTCAGTTACCCTGCAGTTCAAGGGACGATGGCGTTATCGAAAACATTAAAGAGTACAGCCAGCCGTCGAACATGTTCATAATGGTTATAGAAAAGCGCAAAACTTGAAAATCAACGCGAGCGCCTTCCTTATGACCCTCAAGCTAATAGGCTCGCGAAGGGCTGCAGGCAATTACCACCTTTCGTCCAAAGTTGCAAAGCTATGCAGCGAAGAGACGAAGGAAAACCAGAAAAGAGAAGAGCAGCTGTTACACTCGAAGCTGTCGAGTCTTGGAACAGGAGCAGTGGACAGCATGCCAGTCGGAGCTTCGCCATTAACTAGATCAAGATGACTTCTCTATGTCGTTCTAACAGAACAATTACTGCATCCCTAAAGATGGAGAACTACATTTACGACTACTGCTCAGATCTTTTTGGCAACACGTCTGCCTGCACACTTACCATCGTATACAGATTGGATATGTCATACTTTCAGTTCTCAATTCCGAAATTCGACTTGCCATTACATCGACGAAGAATCTAGAGCACCTCGTTCGGACAGGACCGTAACGAGATTGCTCTGCTCTTAACTAGACTTTACTCCTTACTTGCACTTGAAAACCCTAATACTCATTTCGTAGGATATCATTCAAACGTATTTCTGAATAATAAGAGGCAGAAATACGTTCAAATGATAAAAGATATTGGTAAGTATTGCTCAAACAGCCTTATTTCTCTTATCAATAAATTCTTCTCCAGAATAATTCTCGACAATGAAATAAGAACATCGGCTGAAGCGCAGCCGTGCAAACATGCAGGGAAACAAAGGAAGCACAGTAGACAGCACTCGCTCATCTTCTTGCAGTCATTACAACTATCGAGGTGTGGAAAAAGAACGAGAGAAGATGTCGTCATGTCGTGCGTTCATGCACCTCAACGTCTGCGAAACTGCTGAAACAGAAGTCACGTGAACCCTAGGTAACGACGAAAACGTCTTAATCATTCAATAAGGATACTTTGGGGACAACAAACTAATCACAGGAATCTCACTATGCTACAAGGATGTCATCGCTAATGTGTAGGGAAGAGCTGAAAGATGAAACCACCTCGCCCAAACTTTTCAGTGTTGCTTTCGAAAACGTCACATGCTACTTATAATTATGGAAAAAGTGAATTCAATGACCGGAACTTATACAACCTCCGCTTGGCACACACCGATCTTACAACACAGAATACCGAGCAGGCGGAGTTAGCTAAACTCGGCAGCGCCTAAAGGAAGATAGGCTTGCAATTGAATATAAGACAACATTCACAGAAACTCGGTCATTTAAATTGTGACGACCGGCGACCTATTTTTTCTGCCCCCCCCCCCCCCCCCCCCCCCCCCCCCCTCCACACCCACGACCCACCCCGTGTCCTTGGTCAGAGCCCCTTCTCCATGCGTTGTGTATGTGGGATATGAAAATTTGCGCATTCAAATAAGGTTATGCCGTGGAAGGCAATATATCGTCTACAAGAATTGCGTGGGATTTGGAGGACGCTATTCGACACCTTCCGCTCTGTACCGTCAAACCTTGATGTCCCTTATACACTTAACGGTACGGATACTTCTAAACTCCCAGAATAAGCGATGAGCAACCTGGCTTTAAAGAGCTACAGAAGAGAACGAGCGACAACAGGACCGTTAAAGAAGGAATAGTGGAGAAGAAAGAAAGATCAACTTTTCGATTATACAGCTCTTTCTTTCGTGACAGGGTCGTAACATCTGACTCTTCGCAAGAAAAATGCACTTAAAGCCTATCATAACACGGCGGGAAGAACAATTCTTCGAGAACAAGTAAATGCAGGGCCAAATTTGGGTTTGTTACTCCGCGAGTTAATGAAAATCAAAAACGCTGCCGTATACCCTGAGTAATCAAAGATAAGATGGGCCATACAATCCTTGGTGATTGTAGGACCAGAACGGCACCGACTAAATTCTTCGAGAAGTCGCACGAACACCATGGGGTGAGCCACCCGGATAGGTAGACTTCAACTTCTGAGCGAAAGAAATAGTATATCTCGACTTCCTTGACCAAGGTTTACTGAACAACTTCAGCTCGCGACAACAATGCATGGGTTTGATACCGACCCTGCTCGAGCAAATCGATGATCGACGGGACGACAGGTCACACGGATGATGGCGCAGCTTCTTCCACCAATTGAATATACACTATCTCCACTTGCATTAATGTGAGCAACTAGAGCAGCTAACCGCTACAAATCACGGAAATCACTCCACAAAACAACTCTCTCACCTGCAGAGATCTCGATGATGCTGGTTCAGCAACAGGCTGGGCTGGAGCAGTCTTCACTGGAGATTCACCCAGGTGATTGCGAACGTTTTCGCTTTGCATCGCCATCTTGGAAGTGGCAGCTTCAGTTGTTCTTGAAATCAAGAGAGTAAGAAACATCAAATTCTCACTTAATATGTACTTTGAGATCCTTCATGTCCCAAACATTTGCTTGATTTTTCAATAATACACCCAAAACAAGCCTGCACCAAAAAACATTGAGTCGCACCTTCGGCATTATTAGGAGAAAAGCTTTTACACAGCGAGAACGATGCAGAACCAATTCCAATGAACGATAAACATAGCGCCGAATGAACTGGCTAATTCTAACCTCTTTTCAGAGTTGAACAACGGTGGACAAGGTGGTGGTGGCAAACCCATCGACGCCATGACATTCGGTTTTACCTCTTGCTGTGAATCTGAAAAATAGAACGATGAAGGACGACTATCTCATGACATATGTGTACATTCAATTGACAACACTACAAGATTTAGCCGCAGCAAATCTTCCTGCAGCTCTTTTTTGAAGTCAACCAATTGAACAAGAAAGAGGCGAATGATTAGCTAGTAAAAGGTGGTTACCCTGAAGCAATCTTTCTTCTTCCTGAGCTGCAACCGAGGGAGGGGTTACAATGGGAGCAGACGGAGACATTCGAAGCACTCGGCGTGGTAGTTCATCCTAAACATTAAAAATTAGCATCATCAAACACTCGGCAATATAACGGCCGCGCAAAACTTGTACTCATATGGGTTATTCTGTTATATAGAGCGAAGGGTGAGTGAATCACATCCTTGGACTGCCCCAAATGATTAGGTAACGTTACGTACATATAGTGAACATATAAGGAAAACGAGAACACGAAACCCAACTCTTGTGCATCTATAGGTATAGACTCACCCCGATTCAGCCACTGACCATCCTTATGGGAATTTTGCATGGCGTAGGGCAGCAAAAAATAGCAGTCAACAAAAAAAGCAATGAGTAAAAATCTGTAGTGTCAAAAGCATGCAGATTCCCGGTGTCGTTGGGCGACCGGCTCACCACACAGGACCATGAAGCTGTATGTATGAGCATGATAGGCTCGACTGAAATGCCCGAAAAAAAAGGGTCTCTCGAGAGATTGTGGAGTAAAAAAGCTCTCCATAATCTCTCGAAGAACCCGCTTGCCTCTGCCTTCTTCGGGCGAGACTCGATTAGGTTCGAGATTCATCGAGGGCTGGCGCTCTAACTTATATGTGGCCAAACTTGTGAGGCTGATATAATTTTTCAGATCAAGTAGAGCTCCTAGCATTAATGCACAGCAAAGGGTCTTACAAGTATGATGAAGAATGAATGTTCGGGGCTACTCAGTGTGAAATCACAATGATCATTATATGGAAGCTCTTTGCGCAGGCAAAGCCTGGCACTTTAGCAATAAGGAAATAAACCCCAGACACCAATTGAAAGTATAATGAGAACTTGAAATAAATTAAACATCTACTGCAGGAACTGACCGATTCAATACCAATAGTGAAACTGGTATTGTTGATGACGTTAGCAGGAGTATTTATGCGAATAGGTAAGCGAACTGGAGCACTTGGGACAGGGGCCATTGGAGGAGGAAATGGAGGTTCTGGTTCCGTATTTTCCTTAGTACCCTGCGGTGTTGCTGATGTCTCCTCTTGATTTGGTGACACTGGATCTCCAGCAGGAGCATGTCGTCCAACTGAAAATTTGTTTCCATTTTTGTTGTGATGCAAAACAAAAATGTACTGATTAAACAACAAATGCCAGTAAAATTACATATAGCTTGTTCTGGAGTTGAAGAGCGTCCTTCTGATGAACTACGGGAAGCAGTTCTACTCCTCTTCTTCTTCCTACAAACACCAATTTTACAGGAATGAACCGGATGACAGGTGAAGAAGTAAGGAGCTCACGACTTTCTGTGTTTCTTTTCCTTTTTAGCTCGTTTTTTATCGGGATCTCCATCCTTCCCTTTCTCATGATCAGAGTTGGTGCCGTGAGACACGGATCGTCGATCACGTTCATCATTTGCTCCACGATCACTACTGCGCGAACGGCTCCGCGAGGAAATGGGCGACCTGTGACGTTTTGCAATATTCATTTTATTGATCAATAATAAAGACCAATTGCTAGATCTTTTGGAATTTTCTAGTGCTACCTCAAATGAAGGGAACTCGATGATCATACCTCACACTTGGCGAACGACTGTCACTGGAAGAGCGGCCTCTCGACCTTGATCTGCTCCGGTCGTCATCACGATCTGAGTGTCTTCTTTTGTACCTTAACCATTCAGAATCGAAAACTAAAAGCTACACAGCAAACATGGCATAAACATCTCATTGGATAGATCTTTACAAGCAGAATCCGACCTGCAGGGATAGCATTCAATGTCCAAATGAACACAAAAACCTTCAGACTTTTCTTGTGCACACGTTCTCGAAAACGGAAGTGAGTGCAGATCGGGTACTCCACGTAGACAAGTTACGAACCAACAACCCCTGCGACCCTATGGCAGTGTAAGTTTACGAATGAACGGCTTCTATGGTAACGTTTTTGCCCGTTAACAGGGACGAATCACCCTAAACATCGGCGGAGGAGCGCAGCGCACAGTAACATTGTAGCAGCGGGGCGTTCTGGACGATGACCTTTTTAGAAAAGTGAGTCCTCTCTGAATATCATGAAGTTATGTCGTAGAGGCAGCGAAACGTGATGGCTGAAGCTTCTTGAGTGAAAAAGTGAATCCATTTTCCGACACAACTACCATTTATTTCAAAACATGGCCAACGAAAAAGTTAGTTTGAAAGTAAAATCTGATCATTAGGACAAACTATCATTCTAAAACAACGTATAGAAGGTCGCACGTTATTGTTAGCATCGACTAATGTCGTTCAGCCCGAGTTCCCAATCCAACACATGCTCGACATCTTAGCCACGATTATGATTCAATCACATCTCAAATCGCTACCCAGTGACCGCAATGAAGGCGAAGTGTACACCTCTGCTGTGAATGTGCTGTATGAGCTCATTGTTAACATCACACTGTTCTACATTTTGAGCTTCCTCCGAATTGTTACTAACTCAGTTTGGGGTAGTTTTCCATTTCTCAACCTTTACCTCCTTAACTCAGTGCTTTGCGCACGGATGGACCGACTTCAGCAACACTTCAAATTACTGCTCTGAATATATTGTAGAAAGATAGTTAGCTATTGCTAGAGAAAACGCAGCATTTGAAAAACCCGCATCACGACAGCGTCATCAGTCTTCTAGAGCGATGCAATCCTTTCAAGAGTACCATAAAATTAGATGAATGAGGAATTTCTCGAATCTTAGCACACAGTTGAAGTGGAGGTGCATAGGTCACCATCAATTTTTCAAACTGTAAAAAAGAAAGTATTGAGCTCCCACCTTTACTACGTTGTTGGGTTATTCATCACTAGCAGAATATAAAATCCTTCCACTTTCACCTTTGTGAAAAATATCTTTATTCAAACACTCACGATTCTCGTCCACTTCCTCTGCCACTACTCTGTTGGTATGATCTATTCCGATAACCAGTCCGTCCTCGCACTGACGCAAAACAGGTATCAAGACACGAACGTAACTCATATTATCGACCTAGACTCACTGTTTTGGTTCATACTCTGATATTGCGCATATCTGCGGATATCTTTGAACCATGTCAATTCACAGCGATGACCCATCAAATCACCATCACTATATCTGAATGGACAATGATTTCATTGAGTGCTCTGTTGTCTTAACAGAACGGATGAAACCTACTTGCTCATTGCTTCCTTCGCATCATCTCGTGTTTCGAAACGAACAGCGACGAAGAGGCGCTGTTGGTCAGCACTAGTTTTGACAAAATCGAACGAAACTGGTCCTATTCTGTCTTCGAAATATTCTCTGAAACGTACACGTGTATGCAGCACATTAAACCTCAAACGTGAATGTCTGTGTAAATTTAGATGTACTAGTTCCCATGCTCTACCATCACTCACCTTTTGAAGAGGTAACCTTGGCAAATCAATGAAATTTATTAACGCGATGCGCCTTGCACCTTCCTAGTCAACAATGGCAAAAGTCTATCCAAAAGTCAAACAACGACACAGAGTAACAGGATAGGGAAGTAACGTCCAACGGCAACATTGAAAATCTCCTCCAATTAATTGACGCTCATTAAATATCGATTATCATCAAATCAAGAGTTTAAATAGCTGGAAATATCATTGGTTACTGTCTTCGCTGATATAACACATTTAGAAGAGGACTCCTTGACGAATAGTCGAATTTTATATAAATATCGAAGCAAAAACAAAGGAAATACCTGATCTCATCTGTGGACATGTCACCAGGCAAGCCACGAATGAATATGGTATGCTTCGATTCAGGAACTTCTTCTTCATTAATGCGATCTCTCCTTTGATGATAGTCGTACCCACCTCGGTTCGCGTAGGCACCACCGTAGCTCATGGTTGAATTGCCAGAAATGATGCAAACCAATTCAACCGTTCCACAATCAGAGCAAAAGCTGGAATGAAATTGACTGCCATATTTTTTTGCCACATATAGGTGTCCGCACGTCTTTTGTCTAAAGGTGAAGTTCACTTTGGTCCTGGTACATTGAAAAAAAACTCGCCCCTCCACAAGAAAAAAACAGATCTTATTCACTGGTTTGCCATCTACACTCCAACTATAAGAGCTTTACATAAGCAAATCTATACCTAGGACCAATAAATTCCTTCAAATCCTTATAAGTATTACATGATGAATTTGAATTCTATTAAAAGCAACAAAACATTAAAAAAAGATTCTCACCTTCAATGATTTCACTGCCGTCAGAGCAAACACTGATAGAAAAAGCAGTTTCCCAGTATCGATGGAGGATGAATAAGCAACAATTCTAAAGCTATCCAAGCAATCAAGCTGCCCACCGTGAACAATGCGTGCCGAGAAGGAGCAAGATTACTGATCGAACGTCGCCCTTGCCCACCGTAACCCAACGACCTGCATATCACGTTCTGTTTCAAAACGCTCCCAGTCAACCTACAGTTCCACAGCTCGTTTACAGGTGTCGAACAAAGAATGGTTTGGGTCCTTCCACGTCTCTTTAATGATCACCTGTAGGTTTATCAGGAAACTGGGAGCAGCTAATTTACAGACCTTTTTCAAAGCATTCACAGCATAAACCGACTACGTACGGACTCAGTTTTGCTGAACGGACCTCGAAAAGAGAAGCAACGGTTGTGCATGACCTCGTTTTAAGAGATGGATACATTCCAGGAAAATTTGGGAGAAAGCAAACCTGCGCTGGCAGAATTTTGCATAAAGTAATGGGGAACAACGCGGCATTTATGTTTCTGAATGCCTTTTCTCATGTGATAGTGAGAAGGAGACGAATGAAGGATAGATTATTGGCGTCAATCAATCTCATTCCTTGAAATGCGCCCCGTCTTCGACTTCCATTCGGGTCTGTAGCGTCGGTTTATGTGCTAAACAATGACTTGCGGTGGCCAGCCGATGTACAAGCCAGCGCTTCCATCCTCCCACACCACAAGCCGGATTTCGCAGTCGTGGGAACGTATGCTACAAAAACCACCAGTGTCCAACACCTACCCGAGGGCCTCGCTCAAGGTACCTTTTTGTTGCGTCGTATACGTGACGGGAGCGGAGGCGCTTGAGTGTATCTGCGGGATACTGTTCACATGTTCACGGGACTTAAAAATCTGTATTGTCCTCTCATCCGAGTCTGACACCAATTAACCTACCCCAGGAAGATGAAAGGCTCGGTTAGTCTAGAAGGATCGTATTGGATATTGCGCCACTTGCACTTCCACCACCTCCGCCCGAATGCTATACAAGTAAATTGCGAAGAGTTTACCTCTTTCAAAGAATACAAGATTACCTTCTAATATGTGGTGAATAATGACCGGTAGTTTAGTGGGGTCAGTGCTTATCTACTATATAAACACCAGTCGGATCACACGGTTTACGCCGGTTTTCACTCATTCTTTTTACAGAATCGGAATATGCTTGACCTTCCAGTCTTCCTTTCGGATTAAATGGTTGATTTCTAACCACAAATTTTCGAAGGAGCGCCACCAATTCCAAATACTTGGACCGCATGAGTCTATGCTTACATTCGAAAATCTCCACCTGTTGCACTCGATCTCAACAATAACTATGCATTAGAAATTTAGGGTTTCATAACAGTGGACTTACTGGCACGAAAGATCGGGTATATAGCGAGTCGCGCTTCACCTCTGCTCCTGTGGAGAACCGATACCTTATGATAACGTCGACCAAATGATGAGCTTTCTGCCAGTAAGAGTTCACGAAGAAAGCTTCCTGCGGTTTCCCCACAACGTGAATCGAGACCCCTCCCGATACCATATGTGCCGATGTCAGGTCGAGAAACGTCTTGGACAGGGCACAATAAAGGGCCAGACATGGTATCGTGTGAAGGCCACACCCACAGCGTACGAGTCTCACCGGTGTTGTAAAGGCTGCACTACCTCAAGAGACTCCCATGATGAAAGTTCAAACAACTTCCCACGACCCATGGCGACAGTGGAAGGCAGTTTTAGACAATTTTGACTTGATATAGTCAGTTCTTTCCGCAATTATAGCAACTGAAATCTCGCCGACTTACCCATTCCATGCCATTTCCGCCATGGTTATCACGAACAAGCTCTATTTCTACTACTTTTGGAGCGCCTTATTCTTCACGAAGTAGACGGATTCTCTCACTTTCTTCGTCACCGATGTTCTACTCACATTAACACTTCCTCTATTCAACTTGAAATGGGCACTTAAAATTATCGTGAACTATGCCTTTATATGACGACGAAGAGAAACAAAAGAACAAATACAGAAGTACTGAACATAAGATCCTACTGTATGTAATGCTGTGTCTGTTGGTTTATCTGTGTTTGTTTGTCCGTGTGTTTGTTTGTGTCGAACAGAAATTGATAATTCCCGATAGTGTAGATATATGTAGAAGTTCAAATTCGGTAGGAGTACAAGGGGAACGATGGTAGCACTAACTGTTAGCGACAGTGTTTGGCACTACACACGGGGAACGGGGAGTTGGTGTGCGCGAAATTTGTTAATTTGGGCCTGAAGTGTTGAACAGGTTGCGAAGGAGACAAGGAAGGGGAAGGCCATGCGCTACGAGTGTAATTTTAGTAAAAATGCGCAGTCTGGTTGGAATAAGTGGCTCAGTCATCTTCCAGGTGAGCTTCTAGTAGCATCCAGAGTCACCTTTTCAGAAGAAAATTAAATGAACTCAATCTGCTAGAAATGTTGAGATCAGACTACTGATGACCAAATTTTTAGGAAGTTGATGATGCGTTTGTCCATTTTTCTTTCTCAATTGCTTGTCGTGGCCGCACAATATGGGGCTGGATATCTGGGACTGGGGCTGGATATCATGTTGCTGCTCTTGAGTAGTGGGTTGCGGTTCTACTGTGGAGAACCAGTGGATAACCGTCCTCCTTCGATACCTTTTATTTGTGAACTGCGGTGAATGTTACTAACGAGACTGTCACAAAAATTGTTACCATTATATTATTATACGGCCTATTATAGAACATCTTCTACCTTCCCAGGCTTCACGCTTCATTGCACTTTCTCTATTACTACTGCTCATTTGGTCAGCCGAACTACTATGTACTGCCATCAAATTCATAAAGTAAGGGGCGAGTATGTTTCGGATTGAATCCTTCAAAAAATCCCTCGCAGGTGCGAGTCAACAAGTATGCTTCTAGCAATACTTGGGTCTGGGTCTTACGCCCTGGGTTCGTGTTTAGGTCAAAGAGGCATCTACTTTGGCCCGCCCGGGAACAACTTCGGTTGGTTGCCTTGCCCAGACCGACCTGCACCACGACCGTCATTCAGTATCAAGTCAAACAACTACCTGCAGGTAGTCACTGCCTACTTGAGCCCCTGACACACAGAGGGCAGATATTAGTCTTGTGCTGACCTTCTTGGGTCGTTCTTTCTGTGTACAACAGGCCTGGAATGCTGGAAGCACGACCCTTTTTTCCCCTTGCTATTTTGCGGCTATTATGCGAGTTTAGCGTTTGTTTGTTTGTTTGTTTTTCGTCTAAACATGCTTGCCCGAACAAATTCCTTCTGCCCTGTTGTAGCACACCATTGAGTGCACAAATAAATAAAATAAATAAATAAAAGGGGAATGAAAGATGTTAATAGAACAAATACTGCCCAGGACTTGGGCAGGACTTCGCTCATGACGAGCAGGGCGCGAGATGTGTGTCGAGGTGTGTCGAGGTGTGTCAAGGTGTATCGAGGTATGTCTAGGTGTGTCTAGGTGTGTCTAGAGGTGTGTCGAGGTGTGTCTAGGTGTGTCTAGAGGTGTGTCGAGGTGTGTCAGGAAGTGTCGAGGTGTGTCGAGGTGTGTCGAGGTGTATCGAGGTGTGTCGAGGTATGTCGAGGGGTGTCGAGGTGTGTCGAGGTGTGTCGAAGTGTGTCAAGGTGTGTCGAGGTGTGTCGAGGTATGTCGAGGTGTTTCGAGGTGTTTCGAGGCGTGTGTGTGTATGTGTGTGTGTGTTTCGCAGGAATCAGTTGCTCCGGTTCTCCTTATAGACTTGAGAGGTGGCGGCGGGTCAGCTTCAAGACGAGAATGAGGATAGTCTGGCGTCATTCTGGCGATCTGATTGGTATCAATACATCGGTACATCGAGACTGATCCCGTTCGTCAAAAGAGATGTTCGATGTGGCCAGGGCTTCGCCGGAGATAGAGATGGAAACGTCGACACCGAAATGCTTTCTGTGCTTCAAATGAAAGGCATAAGTATCTAATCGCCGCGCTTGCACTGTACGGCTTACCTCCCCCATCCATATACCCGAAATCCGACCCGGACTTTAAAAGGGTTATTCAGGCGTGAAGAAACGAGACATCTCAGCGGAAAAAACTAATAGTGTTGGAAATAACGGGAGACTTAAACCGTTTGAACGATGGCGTTGCTTGACTGTGATGGATCTGGCCCACTGCGGGAGGGTGTTCCGTGACGCACAGGTCGGAGATATGCGGCATTTCTTACGATGAATAGACCGTATGGCGACGTTGAGGCGTCGGTAAACGTTGAACATCTTGAGAAAAATCCGTTTTGGTGGTCAAAAGTGCGACGACTCCCTTCTCGCGCCCTTGGACCGAGTCCACCGAGGTGAGCTCGATGTTAAGGTCGCCAATTTCCCATTACGTGGCGGTACTCTTCCCTAAAAAAGATGATTATGCAAATGATTTGGGAGGAAGTTCTCTGCCCAATTAAGCTTTGCAAGAGATGGAGCAAACGGTAGCTTCGTCCTCTTAATACATATGAGGACTTGCTGGAAGCCCGAACTGATCCGCCCGTTACATCCCCGAAATAAACGGAATGTAGGAGAAGGGCGCATAGTCTGCACATCTCTGCTTACATAACACTATCAGAAGTTCATATGCACAATTTTTCTTATCCCCACGTGTATAGATCACTGGCAGAGATTCTCGGATAATTTGTGGCTGAGTACTTTTGTGGCAGACAAAGACATTGAAGACAATACGCGGTCCTAGAAACAAACCTTAGAGACACAATTCACATTTATTATTATATAGTATATTATTCATTCTGAGATTTTTGTCTTGAATGAGACTCAGTGCGGGTCGTGAATCTCGACCCGCACTATTTTCTCCAAGTGCAGAAGGGAGTCCGGATTACCCAGCTCCGTCAACGAACGAAGATTAGGGGTTGCTCACGCAGGGAAATCGGAAATCTTGTGGGCCATACACTTTATGCAATATCGTTATGGCCGTTGGCCGAAGGCAGTTAGTGAGTGGATCCCTTGGGACGTCAAACACCACGATGATCGCCTGCCGCGATGGTCAGACTTCTCCCCGAAAGCTCACGAAAGAACGAAATGGATGTGGACAGTGACCCTTTTGGTTATTTCCTTTGGTAGCCTCCTGCTTCGCTCCCCAGCTCCTCTACATGCGCTTCTTAGGAGCTGTCGTA